TCGAGTCTCTGTCTCTGCATCATATCAAAGTTATATCACTCGATAGATAAATGGTACAAATGTTACAACAACACATTAAAACCCTAGTATCATTTGAATCATATAAAACAAATCAAAAAATGAGTAATCAGTGTCAAAAGTTATATATATATGTTTTAAAACATTTCATGAGTGTCAAAAGTTTTTAGAGAAGTGGAGTCAGTCAACGACTTACAGTTGAAAAACACTTGAAACTATCTCAAATCTGTTTGCTTAAGAACTTTTTAAAGAAACAAAGTAAAGAGAAGACTCTTATGAGGTGGAAAGGAACGTAATTACAATTAGACTCTCCATATCTTTGGATTTGCAGATGATTTCTTTTTCTTCAAATACACCATCTATTTATACCCAAATGCTTCAATCTTATTTTTATCAACTACATAAATTTCAAGTCAAATAAAGAAAACTAATCCTTTGCTTTTTGGTAATATATTGATTCTATTTCGTTATTCGGTCAATTCAAACTTTTGCCGCGTATTTTATTGTAACTGTTATTTTGGCGCGTATTTTAATGTTCAAATTTATAGTTTTTTTATCAAATATTTAAAAATTATATTTTACTACTCAATCAATTTTAACTTTTGGCAAGTTATTTATTGTTTAACAATTGGTATTACGTTTTGCTATTCAGTCGATTCAAACTTTTTTCGCGGTAAATTATTATTCAAAAATTAGTTATTTTGGCGCGCCAATTATTGTTCCACAGTTAGTAATTTTGGTACGTTACTTATTTTAAATGTTTGATTAAAAACTTATAAATTTGGAGTCACTACATTTTGTTACTCAATCAATTTTAATTTTTGGAAAGCCATTTATTATTTAATGATTAGTATTACATTTCGTTATTCAATCAATTCAAAATTTTGGCGCGTATTTTATTGTTCAACAATTAGTTATTTTGGCACGTCAATTATTGTTTAAGAGTTAGTTATTTTGATACGTTACTTATTTTAAATGTTTGATTAAAAACTTATTAATTTGAAGTTATTACATTTTGCTACTCAATCAATTTTAACTTTTGGCTAGTTATTTATTGTTTAATAATTGGTTATCTGGCAGTGACACCTTATTTATTTTAAATGAATGATTAAGAAATTATAAATCCAAAATCATTATATTCAGTCAATTTTAACTTTTTGGCGTGTCATTTATCATTTGAATAAATGGTTTTCATGCATTATTTTTCCAATGAGTTTGCTATTTATCAGAATTGAGTTTTCAAGTTTAAGAAACAAATATACATTCTTTATAGAAAAAATATAGTATACAAGCTCTGTCTTGTCAGTAGTTTAAGGAACTCGAAAGTTTTTAGTTATATTGAAATCCTTAAAACTTTGGTTTGTTTCAATCTTATTATGCTGGAATTTACACACAAGATTTGTATCAATTGATGAATTGATAAATTGATAAGAGTAAGAATACAAAAGTGTTTAGGAAATGTTCAATATCGACAGCAACATCCTGCCGTGGGATCTAATCGACGTTTATGTCTCAAGCGGAGGGTCATTTTCGTTGCGTCTATACCCAGCCATATAGTCATCAATAGCGTTTATACCCTGCCGTAGAGTCATCGATATATAGAAGATATACCATCATCGTAGTAGGATATCTCCATCGTCTTTATCGCCGGGTCAAAGCCAAAAATCAGCAAAATAAATTTCTAACAAAATATTAAGAAAGTTCCAACAAAAAGAGAGATTGAAGTAACAAGGTC